AATAGTAATACTTTTCAATTAAAAAAAATCAAGAACCTCTTTAATTATATTCAGTAGATGTTCTATACCAGTACGATACTAAGGACGTGTGCGAGTTAGGCTAAGTTGCGTTCTAAATGTAATGATAATGTAGTGATGTGTCAATACGTGTTGATAAATGGCTAAATATGTGCAGTGCCTAAAATCCCAAAAAATCTCCCATTTGGTCTACCATAAACTTAGTCTGACTCGTACACGCCCTAAGTTACTAACTTTTTCACTATTTGATATAGTGTTTGAAAACCCTTACTATACGTTAGGAAATTTTGAACCCTCTTCCATGTGCAGATCGCATTTAGGGTATCACTAATTGCGCTAATTACGTGTTATTAAATTGTAATTACGATTATATTATTACAGATTATTAACATCGTATACAAATTGAATAATTATAATATAAAAAAAATATTAAAATGTACACAAATAGCTAAATAATAAAAAAAATAGTAGTATTATCTGAGAATAAAAAAATTTTATCAATGTAATTGAATAAGTCACATCTATGGTATATTGCTGTATTTGTATGATTATAGGGAAATACAATTATTCCAAACAATTTTTAAAGTAATTACTATTAAATTGAGCACTACCTAAATTCTTAATTCATACTTTTTGTTTTTTTTGAATTTTTGAAATTTGCAATAATTCGAACTATTAATTTTGAATTCTACATATAGCTATTTCAAAAATCTTTTAAAAATATTTAGTTGTCTAAAAATATATACTATTCATATTTGAAGCACTGTATTCAACTTTTTTGTGTTACGCACTACTTAAGGCAAGAAGGAATCCTTATGTCTTCCCTAAATAAAACGCACAAGGAGCGTTCAAAGAACTAGGAGATTGGTCTGGGGTGTACATGTCGGATGTCAAGAAACCCTTATCGAACTTAATGATTATTCATATATCTCATATATCTCAAAAACACATTCTGATTTTAAGCCTTGTACTAGATTCGACACAAATTTAAATTTGTTCACTTCCTCAGAACAAATGGAGGTGGTGGTAACGTCTCATCTTAAAAAAATGATACAGCAATAAAAGCCATACTAAATCATATCTAGCAGGCTTTTTAAATAATACTGTGGGTTTTTCTTTTTAAATATTTGCCAATTAATAAGAATCGAACTGTGGCAATATATTGTATACAGTTCAATGGTAGGAACTTTGAATGGATATAATTGCAAAAGATTAGCTAAATTTATTGAAACGGACATGTTATATAGAAATAGGGGACGGTGACTTATCAATTGTGGTTTAAACAAAACTGTGAAATCTAATCAATTATGAAGTAAAGAGAATTGTAAATGTATATTAACAATAATTTTAAATGAAATCCTCTTAATCATAATGGAATAATAACTAAATTACTTAAATATATACAAAAATATTACTAAAAATAATATAAATCTGAATACAATTGATTGTTAGGGAAAATTGTAAATGTATAGAAGGAATTATTTGAATTCAAGTCTTCTCAATCATAGTAAATAAATATTTGCTAAATTATTTAAATATAAAAAATACTAATAATAATGACTGAATAAATTTAAGTTCTAAAATGAAGCACAGTATGTATAATAATATTAAACCAATTACGAATCAAACAAAACCTCTGATATACTAGTTATACTATATTAGTTATTGCTGTAAATTCTTAGCTGAAAGTATATATGGAATGAATATAAATGTCTGAATAAAGATATACTACTGACCAGTTCGATAGAAAGGAATTCTAGTATTTTATATCTTAATGCTAGAATTAAAATGAGTATATATACAAATAATGAGTGTATGTTTACTGGAATAGAGGTATGAGCTTAACTAATTGTATAAAATATATTTAATGCCCTTTGTTCAGTGATTAGCATTATTATGAAGTGATTATGAATCACAAATCAGTTAAATACGCTCTAAAGCAGCTTATCTGATCATAGGTATTTGGAACGTAGGTACTTTCCGTCAGTGACAGTTGCAATTATGCAGGTCTCAATATCAATTGTAAATCTTCTCGGCTCTTAAGAACGATTTTTTGCAAAATTTTTAATATTTGCAGTTTCTATTTGCGAAGCAATGATTTGCAATATTTTTATGCATTTTTCGTGTTAAGGCAGAAACCTTGTTTGTTTGGAAAAAAATACACAAACTGTTAAATTAAACATTTAATTGCTAATTTATTTCTCAAAATTAAAATAAAAAATTGTTTTTATTTTTGAATATTTTTATAAAATTTAATGTCAAGGTTACATTTGTATTTTTGCCACAACGAGAAATTTTTTTTAATTTTATCTTTTTTATATGAGAAAAAACGCTAATTTGAATAAAAGTGACCACAAATTATTTAACATTTTTCTGTTAAATGCACATATTTTTTGAACCTATAATTAAATATATACAATATTTAGGAAAAGATATTGATACTTTAGATTAAACATTGTACAGTACGTACTAAATTGTTGTACTGTAAAATGTTGCATTGTAAGTACCTAATATATTTTCATATATTAAATAGGAAATTCCATATTTCCAGTATATAAAGTATATATAAAGTATATATAAAAAAAACCGATCGTAAATTATCTAAACCACCTTCTATAAGTAAAGCAAACCTATTATTTTGCAAGGTCGCAGTAATTAAAACAACAAAATGAGTAAGTAATTTAAGCTTTAAATATATATAATTATATTTTATCAATCTAAAGTAAAGTTTATTACCGAACTAACCAGAAATTAAAATTGATTACAAGTTGTAAATCTGCATCGATCGCAAAGCGACGATAATTACAAATCGTAACCTACAATTACATCAAATTTCAAATACAAGTTCGTGCGAGTAGTAAAGTAAAAGTTTTATCCGTAAATCTGTCGGATGCGGTTTTTATGGAAGCCTCTAGAATTAGTTTGCTAAGCACTGATATATTCATTAGTCACGATGTCAAATGTTCATTGAATTTTTTAATTATGCACTTTACTTAAGAATTCCTAAAGTGTTAATCTAAATCCAATGGATCATAAAAGATAATTCGTTCGAGCAAATAAACCATACTTTGTTATATGATTTTTAAGAATTATTCATTATCAATTGTTTTTGTCAATTTTCATTGAAGAATAACAAAAGTAACAGCAACAAAAGTTAATCAATATATTTAAAAAACTATAAAAAAATTAATTTTTTTGTTATATATTTACGATCCTCTCATTATCATCACTGGGCCATAATATATTGTATATTCGAATTAACTGATATTGTGATTGGGAAGATATCGGTAATTTTTCTTGCAAAACACATTGTATATTCTAGTTTAGCTCTCTGTTTAATTTTTCTCCCAAATAATGTAAAGAACTTAAAAAAAAATAAAAACAGCATTTATTTACAAAAAAAGTGATGGAATAATGCTTATTTAAACACCGTTATGCCAATATACCATAAGTAAGTGGAAGCTGCGATATCAAAGTTTATCTTAATACTGATAGTTAATAAAAGACTCCGAACTATCCATTTGTAATTTTTGCAGTAACTAACAAGCGTCAATTAAATTCTATATAACTGCACATCCATATAGCAGATATCAGATATCAACAATCCAAAATTTTTAATTACTTATTGAATACTATGTATATCTGAATCGAATGTCAACAAAATAGTTGACTTTATTAAATATTGTAACTTAATGAAATGTATTTAGGTCGTGTGCGAGTTAGGCTAAGTTGCGTTCTAAATGAGGGAAATTCTAAGTTGTGCCGATAATGTCGTGATGTGTCGATACGTGTTGATAAATGGCTAAATGTGTGCAGTGCAAAAAATCCCACGAAAAGTCCCATTTGGTTTAGCATCAACTTAGCCCAACTCGCACACGTCCTTAATCCATTAGTAAGCTTTCATATTTAAGTTAGACTACTTGTATTTATTAGCTTAACTTCGAAGGCCTTGAAAGTAAATACGCTCAACTCTTGTTAGACTTAAAATTGTATATTTTATAATAGATTAGAGAAATGTAATCCGCATCGATAAAATAAAAAATGTATTAAAGACGACGAAGAAAGTTAAATGACGGTATGTCATAGTAAAATTTACTTACCTCATGGCTTAAATATGGAGGAGCAAAGATCTTATATAAAACTTTGCTCTAGAGTGTTTTTAGTGTGGTTTTATCATCTTTGCTACAATACCATTACAAGTATCTGGTCTGTTGTTGTAAATATCTAAGTAAGCTTAGAAGTTAATTTTTAGTTTTTATCTATTTCTGACAATTAAAAATTAAAACTGAAGATTAGTAAGATTAGTAAAGACGGAATATTCCTTATTTTCTTTTGCTTGCAGTCATGTGGTTCTATTCTCTAGCAAAGGTAAAAATTTGGAAGAAGCAACACAGCAACACATCTTATAAATAAGATTGCAATCTTACTGAGCTTTAATCTGCTCTTATTTCTTTTTAACGACGATGTTATAAATTATTATTTATAAGCTTATCGTCATATAAGGACACATCTTAAGCTAATACATGTTAAACTCTTCTCAACTCGTCTTAGATGATTTTGTATTGAGTTCCACTTTTATAAATCTACTAAAGTTAGCTTAAGCATTTGTGGATCCAACTATGATATAGTTTTGTGAATTTTGCAGATTTTCCTCTCTAGTATTTCCCTTCTTAAGTAAAAAACGCTATAATTGTAGTTCTATAGCATTACAAAAAATCTACTAAAGTAACCGTACTTAATTGCGATAGGCACTTATACAGCTATTATATGCCATGTCTATTTATAGATACTTCTTTTATTGATGCTCTAGCAATTTATTGCGGTTCTTATTATTTCCACAGCACCCATATATATTATTTTGTAGATATTATTAATTATATTATAAAAACATATTCATATTATATGCATTTGTAGTTCTTTGCATTAAAGCATTTGTTTTTAATATAATTATAGTAATTGTTATATGTTATTTTTATTTTCAGGAGTACCTACCATGTTATCGGAACTAACTGAATTGCCATCCATTCAATTGGGTGACTTTAAGCTGCAGTTTGAATTGGGAGAGCCGACTGATTTTGCAAAGGAGGTTGCAATCAAAGAACTTAGAGAAACTCCAGAAATAAAGAAAAAAGCTGTAGAAGATTTGAAAAAATTACTTGAAAGTAAGAAATGTTTTAAAATTCGTTATAAAAACAATAATTCACTATAATAGCAAAATCTGCTTGTGTGCATACAAATATTCTACCTACGAGTACAATAGGAAAAAACTATATATTAAACAAATATTGATTAAGAGTAATTGGCAATATTTCAGTACTCAAGGGCTTGAAGCTCTAGAAAAAGTTGAATAATGAAACGACGAATATAGAATTGTTTGAAAATTTTGAAATTTATATTAAAGTTAATATTGTATAAAGCTATTGTATGTCGCTTATCGCATGTGACTCAATATATAACATAATATTTGTGTTGAGCTTGCTTCTATATCTTATATAAAGTAAAATGCATAAGGTGTGTATTTGTACCGTATATACGCTCAAAATGAATCGAATTTATTATTTTGAAAATATTATGGCAGAAAATATTATCTTTCAATAGAAATTGCATGAATATAACAATGGAATGTGAGGAAAATTGAAAATATGAACATGGGAGCCTTGGCAGCATTATTTTCTTCTTCATTTGAGTTTATAATAGGTCTGTTCCACAAGCTACTCATAGTAACTTTGAGTAAACACTGTGTATACACAAGCGCGTTCCACCAGCAAATTTTCAAGTATTTTTGTGTAAATTTTACTTCTGTTTTACTTATGTGTTACTATGAGTAGCTCGTGGAACAGACCTATTAATAAACGGAGGTGGCTGTCTTCACTTGATTAAATATATGATCCAAATATACAGGGTTGCTGACGAAAATTGCAACAAAGTAAAAAGCTCTATTTTCTTTATTTCTGTTAAAATTAATGAAAGATTAATGAAAATATATGAAAAGAACTTAAAATTTTAAAGTTGATTTATTTTGGTTCAATATGGCCACCTCTGGTATGAAATACGAGTATAACGCTTGCTTCAGACGATCGATATTTTGCTATTTTTCAGTGCCAACCTTACTTTTTAAAATACCCCAGACCGAGTAATCTAAAGGGTTTATATCAGGTGAATACGATGGAATAAAGCGTTGACGCGTGTTTTGTGCGATAGTGCTGATAGTCCTGTTAGGATGTCCAAATGCTGCGACCGAAATGCATATCTTTCGGCGCCTAAGGGTTTACTGCTCTCTTTAAAATAATTTCTCCATTTATTTTTACCCCACGGTGCATAAACACGACCGGAAAGCGACCTTCGGCGGCCCACACAATCGGCATCGGTGGCGCATGCTTTCTGGTGGGCATTTGTATGTTTAAATTTTTACCTCTTTTGACTTCTAGGACAAGTAAACTGGATCATTTTGGTTGTTTACGTAACTCACCACTTTGACAAAACGAACCAACATTTTGGCACTTTCGATTCTAACATTCTTTTTTTATTTGTTCATCGGTGGCTTTTATTTGAAATCATTTTTCAAAATGTGTGGCATCCTTTCTTGCGATACGTTCAGCTCATTTGCCATTTAATTGCAGCTACGGAGTGGGTTTCGCTCAGTTCGCTTCTTCGTTTTGCGAATCATTACTGGTGTTGTTACTCTTTTTTTTGGTCCACTTTCTGGGCATCAGGCAATGCTATTAGTATCACGGTATCGAGCTATGGTACAAGATACAAGTCATTTGTTCACAACACCTAAGTTGGGGGGACTGGAACGATAGCTACTTGTGTTCTTTTCTACAACACAAAAATCAAAATGCCTTCGTTCGCTTGTAAACAAGACAATGAACTCAAATGAATTAACTATCATTATTGGTTTCACAACTAAATCGGTGCGAGTTTGTTGTAATTTTCGTCAGGAACCCTGTTAAGGTAATGCATATAGCTAACTATATGTTATGATGTTTGCTTGGCACAGTTTATTTTAGATTAATTTCTTTTTTCAAATTTTCTATATCATTGTGGGCGATAATTGTTGTAAGTTGTGTGGTTTCATCTATCCAATTTAAGCTTTCTTTTCGAGTGAGTAACGTTAGTATTGTGCGGCAGTTGGTTATCGTTGTTGAGCAGAATCAGCCACTTCTTAAGACACCAATATACCCTGTCTAGCGCAATTTATTCAGTGAAATTTCATCACATATGTTTTATATATAGGTACAGTGAAATTCCCCTAACTCGAATCGTCAAGGGAACGGCAAAAAACTTCGAGTTAGGAAAAATTCGAGTTATAGAGAAAACATTTTTTTTTTTTTATTTAAAATATTGTTACATTTTTTTATTTTATTGAATTGGAATATATCATCCCGTGCGTTTGCTCTGGAATGGATAAATGTTCAAATTGTCTTGATCGCATCTTTATTTGCGGCAATTGTGTCTGCAAACTGCTTTATCTTTTCTCTAATAATACTACCCAACAGAGGTAGATATTTGCTGTTGCAGCACTTATCCATTGTAACATAGCTTCATCCACGTAATCTTATTTACATATTGTAATCCGTTTACGTTTATTATTACAGAACTCTCTTTTCAGTTATCCTTATTTTTTTAAATCGTTGATAAGATGTCACAAGAAATTCCATATTTTTCGGCTATATTCTTTTTGTTACCTTTTTCTACTTCAATAATTAAATTAATTTTTTCCGGGGTTCACAAACATTTCAAGTTTACTCATGTTTGTGATTGAAGGTCTACTGCTTCATTGATAATAAGCACAAATCCATCATCGCATTAAGGAAATTTACAATAATAAGAGCAGTTGTTAGCCATCTTAGTATCGCTGAAAGGTAGAATCCAATAATGTCGCGCAAGTTAGAAAAGTAACTGACAAAAGTGTTTGAAAATATAAAGGCAAAGCAAAAAATTCGAGTTGTGGAGATAAATTTAAAGGGAAGTGCTAAAAAGCTATGTGAATTTTTACTTCTAGTTACGGAAATATTGGAAATATTGGAGGGAATTCGACTTTTGGAGACAAAGAAAAAATACAAAGGAAGAGTTGTTGAATATTCAATGTTCGTACATAGGAGTTCGAGTTGTGCAATAATTCGACTTAGGGGCCTTCGAGTTAGAGGAATTTCACTGTAGTTAAATCTTGTTCCGATAATTTTTTTGAATAACATTATTTCAGAAAATATTTTCTATATACAGAAATCTTTTGCAATTCTTAACTTATTACTCTCGGTTTTGCTCAATAGTTTTATGCTATCGATAAGTCGATACCAAAACTGTAATACACTAGTTGCTGCGGACTGTCATCGTATGAAAATGAAGACAATGCTTTAGGTTTAATGCTTTAATTTTTTTTTTTATATTTCAACACAAATACCAAGGCAACTATATATATCTAATTTTGATTTGTCAGCTTTCTTGACACTAGGCAAATCACTTAACATGAGAATACAAGAGCAACTAAGCCAGTGAAAATCGATAACCGATAAGCCTCAGTTGCTGTGTTCAATTTGCCAACTATCTTGGCTAAGCAAATTCTCTATTTACTAGGCGAGTTACTTAGCCTAAGCGTAAAAAGACACTTAAGCCATTATAGCTAAGTGCATAGACTATATATTGGCTTAGCTGTTTAGCCGAAATTGCGTTGTCACGTTTTTTTGTCAAATATATCAATTTTTTTTAATTTTTTAATATACAGTCAAACTTCCATAACTCAAGCACCATTTTGCAAAGAAGAGGTTCGACTTATGGAGACTTCGAGTTAAAGAATTGTATGTAACTTGCTGAGTAAACCCTGTTGCACTCTATTTAGTTTGAGTTATAGAAGTTCGAGTTACAATTACAGTCAAATATTAAAATTTTAATATTAATTTTTATAATAAATTTTACAATTGTTTAGAAATTCAATGACAGCAATGCTGCAGTTTAACTTAAAAGTAAGATAAGAGATAAGATACTGTAAAGGTGTGGCGATTTGAACGCAGCAATAGTTTCCTTTATCATTTCCTTTATACAGGATATAACACGATATTAGTATGATGGTGATATTAGTATTGGGTTAACTAGCACAGTTACGGATGTGTTTATGTAGCATTACTATGGTTGTTATGCAAAGTTTGTTATATATATATATATATATATATATATATATATATATATATATTCTTACTGAAACTAAAAGCCTTTATTAACCAGTGACAGTTTTTGTATATTCGTAAGTCAATTAAAATTGTATGATATCTTTGGAAGTAACTAAAAATACGGAGGGCCCTAAATGGCATTTAACTTTTATGAAGCAACCTTGGACAAAGGTACGTGAATACTTAAATTTTTAATTACGGCTATCTTGCAAAAAATATTCATAAAATGTAAGCAGTTGAGTTATATAGTTGCTCAAGTCTTGAACCTAATGAACCTCCATTAAAATGGATGTGCTTAAAGTAGATTGAGCAATTATTATCTAAATACAAGTGATTAAGTAATAATAAATTTTTGTTAATTATAGCAAAAATAGAATTGATAAAATCTTTTTACTCATGATGACAAGCAAATTTTTGATAAAACAAAATCTTAAAACTGAGACAAGCGATTATCGAAGCGGTCTACGCCATTTAAGTAGATTCTCTGAAATTTTAAATAACTCGTACTTTTTACTAGCCTACTGGTCATACACGATGACTTCATTTTTTTCCCATTTAATAAGCAATAGAAAAAACAAATTTATTATAGTTAATAATTTGTTTTTGCTGGTGTGTTTTTAGCATTAATTGTTCATTTAATAAGAGTGATTAGAACTTAATTTGTTGTTGAAACAGCAGGAAAGGTGTTAACACGAAAGACACAAATTTAACGTTCCATTGCACAAACCTAAAACGATCGAATCGATCAATCGAATCGCATGAAATCTGAATGAGAGTTGATATGAGAATCAAAATGGGAATCTGTATGACAGCTAGACGAAGGGTGTGATTGAACGAGTCTTTACTAGTTAGTTGTTGCTAATGAGTTTCAAAAATTCTATTAAATTAATTATACTAAAATAACTCAATAGTTTCGAGGTTTAAATACTTTTTTTAAAATTGTGTTAATTGATTTTATTTTATTAAAAACAATTGATTTAGTTTAAATTGCTTGCCATTGGCAGAGAAGTGTATCGAAGCAATTAGCTATTATTTAATTTGACAAAATATTTATATATTTATTCTTCTTATGTTAATTTCTTTTCAAATTTTGAACAGCAATAACTCTGGCATATGGAATGAATGTAATCTGGAATGTAATCGTTAATAAATTTAAAATAGAGACAAGTTGAACTGCTTCCAATAGTAACTTTTTTCAAACTCTTTAAATTATAAAGAACGCGAAAAATGAGAAAAACTGTTGCAATTTACCTATTACCATTTTAACCGTAACGAGTTCTTGGAGTTCATCGTGTAGTAAGGTGCCCACGCGTCTTGGCTACACTCAAGAGCTCATGAGTTAGGGCCATTTTAAATAAATAACAATGGTTTTTAATAAGTAGTAAACATTTGTGAATAAGATCAAGGGACAAATTCTATTAAACTTTGGTCACAACGACGAGGTTTTCAGTAATAAATGTCAAATTCTGTTTATATATCCATCCAAAAAAACAAATAATCTGTTGTGTTTAAGCAGAACTGAGAATTGTAATTTAACTGTCTGCATAACATACCTTTCTAGTTATGACCATAATATGTGCCTTAACTTAAGTCGCTATATAATTCTATATAGTGGAAAAAAATTCATATTGCTATAAGAATAGACCTCATTCTGTGTACATATGCTGAAAGTCATACTTCTTTAGTTTAGGATCTATTTTGCAGCGCTTAAGCTTTTTTAATACACCTATTGTTATCTTATTTCAGAAGAGTTTAAATTAATATAAAATTTTCATTAGTAAATTTTCCTTAAATTAATATAAATTAATAAATTAAATAAATATGTTTATTAATTAATAAATGTGTTTATGATTTCTTCAACTAGAAACCTGGTTTTGTTGCACTAGAGCTATAGAGCTGTAATATAGATACCACATATCTTTTTTGGAGTATTCTTGTTTTATGAGCTTCTCATTACTCAATAAGAAAGCTTATTTCTATTACGAACGTTAAAAGTCGAAGTTATTACTGGACTTCAGTGACTGCAGTCACTGGACTTATTAACCACATACTCCGTAATTAATTACAATTGTAATCTGATCTGAATTATTAATTTTCATTGCTTTCAGTTGTCTAGGCACTTTAAGTTAATTATTGTGATAGAAGACTTACATATCTTTGTTATTAATTATAGATTTAGTCTAATTTATATATCTACAATAGTGGATAATTGATGCTTAAGAATTTTGTAAAAATTAAGTTAGAAACAACTGTTTTTTAAATGGGCTTCTACTAAGGTTTGTTAAGATAACAGATTAAAATTAGAGTTGAGTATAAGATACGATTTTTTTATTTTTTTTTTTAAATACTATTAATTAGCATTCAAAGTTGAAGTGTGAGACTTTTCTCACGCCTCTCCGTTTCTCTCGGATTAATTAGTATTATGAGATTACTTTGCTGGAAGGAGAGTGAACTATTATCTTTATGAAAATGTGCACAGGTTTTCTGTGTAAGGTAGTTAATGTAGGCTATTGAAAGCTATATATGTGGTACACTGCTAATCAATTAGTTGATCAGTCAAGTACCATTAAAATAAGTGTCGGTAATATCTCAACGCTTTTAGTCAAGTTTGCACAGTTTTCTTTAAAGAATATATATAGACAAAAAATCTCTAATCTTCCCTGAATACACCTCTGCTCCATTGATCAACAAAACTCAGGATTATTTCTCACTGAATGTGAGTAACTTTGTTTTATATATTTTATGTATTTTGGAATAATATTCTGTGAAAATCATAATTATACTATTTTTGCTAAATAATTGTTAACCTTATGTTGTGCCATGGGAGATCACATTAGAGTGTTAAACACAACACTATAAAGAAAATCTTTAATCTTCAATATTCGAGTATTTATGCAATTGTCGTCTTGGCTACACATCTACACAGCTATATTTTTTTAATATTTTGTTTTATTAAAGTGCTACAACCGAAAATTGTATGTAAAAATTTAAAACGTGTTAAAAAGACAAAAAACCGTGTTCATTTGTCAGTACGAACGTAACTTCAAAGACTACAACTGTAATGCCGAATTCGTAGTATTTCTGCTCATTCATCATTATTTTTTTCTCCATAAAAGAAGTTCAAGGGCGTAAGCGCTAAAACCATCCATAAATAATAAAAAATTTGTAAATACGGAAGTAATATGACGTTGGTTTGTTTTATTTGACTACCTCTGTCTTTCTTGCTGCTAACTCTATTTCTGGACTTTAACCCTAATTAGGTACGAAAGTAAACGAATGGCTCATAGAGGAGAGTCAAGTCTTCAGGCAACATTCGAAAACGTAAGTATTTCTGCTATTGTTCGGACAGTTAGACAGTGGCGTATTCACTACGAAAGTTAATAGTTTTTTAAGGGCGCACTAAAGATATTATTGTTCATAAAAAAAATATAGAAAGAAAAGAACATAGAAAGTATAGAAGAGTGAAACCCTGTTGAAAGGGGTGATATACAACATTGAAGTTTTTAAGGTGTAGGAAATCACAGTTCAATAATTTTTAAAGCAGTAAAAATAAAAAATATATAATGTCATATATAATATATAAAAATATATATTTATTATATAACAAGTATATAAAAACTTTCTTATGAAATATTTTTTCAGATGAAACAGATTTAACAATTCCAAAAGATAATGAAGAATGGTTGGTGCGCTTTTTGAGGCCATGCAAATTTTATCCAGAGAGTGCAAAAGACTTGGTAAGACATAAACATAAGAAATAACTTTAAAATTTACATTCTTAACATATTATATAAAATAATTTATTTATTGTGCCATAGAACTCTTTTCTTGTCAATCGTCAGTGTTCTAAAGCTCATCGTGGAGCTTAGATTCTCAACAAATCTTTTCAATTTAACACGATCTCACTTTAATCCGTTTATATCTCCTCAACTTTGTCCATTGGCAGGAATGTCAGGTTCTAGAGTTCTTCTCCATGTCATTTTTGGACGATCCTATGTTTGTAGTGCTGAAAATTTAAATCTTAAAATCCTAAAATTTGCGTAGTATATGTTCAACTCATCTCCTCTTCTGATATTTCAATTGGATAAACATTGGTTTCTGATTCCTTAGCCTGCGAAAGCTAACATTTAGAACACACTTCAACTACTGTATATTTTATCAACTTATTAAGTTGTACTTTTAAGGTAATTTTGGTTTGGAATTCTTGGCCTTAGCTAGACTCAGTGCTTCTTCCATAGAACCTCCCATATGAAATCTGGCATCTGGCAGTCTGACATATATTGACTTTTTGTAATACTCAAAGGAATTTCTTTAGCAGTCAGGTCAAGATAGACATATAAAACGTCTGTTAACTCATTATCTAGGCTTATTCTCATATAGGTTTAAGCTTATGGGGGTTACGTTGTTTAATTTATTTTGCTTTATATCTAATTGGTTTTGAAATGAATTGATTATATGATAATAAGACAACTGGTTATAACAGCAATGAAAATCGGTTAATTTGATAATCGTAGAATAAAATTCAACAATAAACCAACCAGTAGCGTAACTACATTTTTTAGGCCCAAAAGCAAATTCTAACTAAGGGCCTCCTATGGTACTAACATTTTTTTATACACTTTACACGAGAAAGTGTAAAAAGGGTATATTAGACTTGTCAAGATTTTCGTAACTGATTAAAAGAAACGTCAAAAATACCAAAGTATATATCAGTATATGTATATAGGTATATACTTTTTCAGTTCAAACTACTCTCTCAGCTTTGAACTCTTCGAATGAAACTTTACACACATACTTTTCGGGAGCGCACCCTGTTCACCATTTGATTTGATTGAAATTGGCCCACTAATTCTTATAGATGTATGTATTTTTATTTTTCCTGACAAATTTTTCCAATCACGAAATCTAGAACACCATTGATTTGTTTGATTAGAAAATAATCAGCACGGCTTACAATATACTGAATCCAATAACTTTAAATAGTATAACCAAAGTCGTGGCTCTGTTTCATATTTTGTTTTTAAATTATAGTACGAAGTATTGAAACTTCTATTTTCTTGAATAGAATCCTTCGGAAATGGCCCTTGTGATTTCTGATGGTCGGAAGAATTATTAATTAATAAGCGTTTAATACCATCAGTAATTTTGACATCAATATAGTGCCCAATATCAGTTGATTTGCTTATTGTTTCATCAATGCTTTTGGAGTCTGTTTTAGTATTTGAACAATGGTCAATTTATTCTGTGTATCACAATTAGAAAAGACATCATTTCAATCGTTCACTTCTTCACTTTTGTTTTCATTTATTTTTAAAAAATTGTCTAGTTTTGGTAATTTCTTTAATGTTTCTTCTCGTTCGTTTTGCTCTTCTCTTTTCTTGGCTCCACTTAAATGTCAACACAAAGAAATTTTTAAAGGTTTTGTTCAAAAACCAAAACTTATGATATTTCAACAAAAAACGTTTCGTCCCACTTTTGAGAATTTATTAAAAATAAATATAATGAATACATAAATTTAAATTGGGGCCCCCTAAATTCGGGGGCCCGAAAGCGTTGCTTCCAGTCGCTTCCCTGTAGTTACGCCACTGAAACCAACCAATGTAAAACAGAAGCAGCCAGTAGAAACCGATTAGAAAAAGTCGAGCTTCATTAGTAACTCCACTACTGCAACCGTACAGTAAAATCGGTTTTATATATTAATTAATAATTTCTAGTTTAGATTTTACAATTAAACATAAGATGGTTTTGTCTTGCATAAAATATCTGGTATTATTGCAGTTACATTACTATTCATTTAGTACATATGAGTACATTTTGCATTACTTAACAAGCCATAGTTTAATTTTTGTCTGTATACTCATATTCTTCTGGCAGTTATATAATTAAATAGAATTAGAAAACTAAATTAAAAATTATATTAATCTTGATGTATTTATATACATATGCGAATATTGATGATTTTATGAATATTTGATATTTTATAAGATATTTTATTCGTATCGAAATCACTTGTTTGGGAATTTCGTCACATGCGAAGAAATAAGTGTTATTAGCTAGCAATTTGTGCTATGTTCAGCATTATTTTTTTGCTTTTGTTTTTTTATAGAGCAATTGATACATAAAGTTGTATAATTTCAAAGAAATATTTTTGCAGAATCAATTTTGTTAGCAATTTTATGCTTACTTAAGACTGTCAATATATATCAATTTTTTTATTTAAATAGCTTCCAAGTGGCTTCTCTTCTGTAAGTTTTAACCTGACTATGGAAAATTTGCTCTGACGTAGCAACTCATTGTTGATTGGCCAATGCTCATTTAATGTTCTGGTTATAATTTTTTTTCGGTATATGAAAGCGATCGATAAGAAACAAATTGTCAATATTATATTAGTTTTATGTTAGCTAAGAATGTCGAATGAGTTTTCAAATCATCTTCTTTTGTCTACATGGAATCATGAAAACAACCAAATTACAATCAATTCATTTTCTTTAATTTCTTTACCCAATTCTATTATATAAAATCAAACTAATCTTTTTTATTAGTATTTTATTAGTTCTTCATAGGAATTGTTAAAGTTTCATAATTCCTTTCATTAAACCATAACCAGAACATGTGTATTCTAAAAATCTTATCAAACTAATTAAATAATAGAAATTAGAGTCACTAGAATAGAATAAAACTAGAAATATAATGATCTTACTTAACATGTTTTTTAGATAAAACGCTACTATTCGTTTAAAGTAAAACACGCCGATGTTTATGATGGGCTCCGTCCGACTAAAGAAGCTAACATTTTTAAGCATAATATACTTACTGTATTTCCTAATCGCGATCAGCTCGGCCGACGTATCCTACTACTTGAACTTGGCAGTAAGTATTATTTTATATTCTAGTATATTTCTTTTAGAACATATTAATAATATGATGTTATTACTTTTTATAGAACGCTGGAAACACAAGGAAGTCACACTCGACGAAGTTTTCAAAGGTGCAGTTTTGTTCCTTGAAGCCGCCATGTTAGAACCAGAAACACAAATAAGTGGAGCCGTAGTTATATTTGACATGGATGGTTTGAGTCTGCAACAAACATGGCAATTTACACCACCTTTTGCTAAGCGTATTGTCGACTGGTTACAAGATTCGGTCCCGCTGCGTATTAAAGCCATTCATATAATCAATCAGCCAAAGATCTTCAATGTGGTATTTGCTTTATTCAAACCATTCTTACGTGAAAAACTGCGCTCACGTATAATTTTCCACGGCACTGACAGAGACTCACTCCACAAACATATATCAGCCAAATGCTTGCCAGCAATTTATGGAGGAGTGTTGGAGATTCCACGAGTCGATGGCGATCAATGGTACAAGCTATTGCTTTTGTGCGACCTGGAGTATGAGGCCATAAATTCTTACGGTTACAAAAATAAAAAGAAGTAAACCATATCTGACCAACGTCTATGCAAATTGCAAAATATTGGTGTTTCGTATTATTTATCAATTAATGCAATAGATACTTTTTTTTTGTAAATATATATGTAACCCATGTTAACTATCTAACTATCTATTTTAGATTTGGTTGATATCAGCACAAATTTCTTATTGCCTAATTGTCTCACTGTGGCCCCTTGCCACTTTAAGTACTCAATCGGTATCTCATGCTACTCATTTATGTTAGTGACTAAGTTTGTGTTTTGTTATATTTTAATGTATATTGTAATATATATAAAGGGTACTTAGTTATTCCTTCTCTTCATTTTAAGTAAATTACCTTTGTTTTTAAGTGAATTTGTAGCTTCTGCAAATATATTTTATGCGCTATATTTGGGATTTTATTAAACTGCTAAAGTGCAGAATTTAGGGGAGAAACAGTTTATTTAGATTTGTGAGTTATTGTAGATTTCATATTCGTATATATGTTTTTAACTTAAAAAAATATGTTATTAAAAAAATAAAATGTAAGCTTTATCAAAATAATTCCATTCTTAAAAAAGCAACACATTTTGCTCAAGTTAATATTTTTAATTTTGTATCTTATTTTATTTTATTTTATTTTATATTATTTTATGTTATTTGATTTGATTTTATTTTGTTAAACACAATAAAAAAATATTTTATTTATGAAAAAGCGCATTTTTATATTTAGAAAAGCTCTATTTTGTAACGAAAACAAGGCACAGGTTTAGGAAAGAAGTAAAATATTTTTTATTCGAAATATCATTTTATGGCACCAATGATAAGAAAGATCTTCTACATATTGTCTTAAGGAAAAAGTCTTAGAAGTTACATACTACAGAATTAAATTTTAATTTTTTCGAATCTTTAAAGGCATGTTTTACGAATGGTGCCGCAGGGTTAGCATAGATCAATGACCTTTGAAACTTCCACATCATATGCACCAAAACCTCGGCAGATAATATAGTCATGACCGTGCTGACTGCAAGTATTTCTTCTGCATAGACAAATTTAACGCTAAGTACTAACCCTACGGTACGTACTGCTGCCTATACCGTTGTTATTATTCTAATTGTTGTCGTAAGGTTTAGATGTGGCTAGACTTATATATGAAGGTTGATAAATATCAAGTTGGTAGCGAAAGAAAATACACGACTACTGTTATTAATTTTATTATTTATTACTAAGTACTAGCAATTCAATCATTATGCCTATACCTAGCAATGCCTTATTTTTCAAATTAGCTGATTTAGGTTTGTCTCACAAGTTTTTGACCACACTAATGAAATTATACTCGAACACCAGCAGTTGCGTAAGGGACGGTAATCTTATGTTTTCTCTCTCTCATTTAAAGTCAATCAAGGTGTAAAACAAGGATGCCTGCTCAGCACAATTTTGTTCTAACTATACTTAAATGATCTGCATGACTTTTTAACGGGTGAAGTATCTATCAACTCAACTCATATAAAAGTGCTTTTGTGGTTCTACTTGCGGACTCACCTGATGTATTGCAAATTATGATAGATGATCTGTTTAGATGTTGTTAGATAATGTCTTTCAGAAAATATCCTAGAGTAAGTAATTCGTTGTCGTGAAAGTTTGGGGAAAGACAAGTAGAAATTGTCAATGAATATAAGTACCTCGGAATATTAATTACGTTTAACTTCTTATACAATAAACACTTGACCTCTAAACTGTCCTTAGGTAAAAGTGTAATTGACTCCACGTGGGTAAAGTACTTGTCTAATCCCAAAATAACTTTTATAAATAAATTAAAAATTTTCTACATGGCGGCACGTTCAATTGTAGTTTACGGTGCCCAAATTTCGGGGTACAAACACTATGATCAAGTGGAAAAACTATTTACATTTTTTATAAAAAAGATACTATTTTTTCCCGCTAATACCCCAAACTATATGCTCCACTTAGAAACGGGTTTACCAACGCAGTTTGTAAACACAGTGCAGACACATTTCGCCTATCTAAGAAAAATTCTTGATCTTCCCTCCAAAAGGCTTCCTCGAATACTAGCTGAACTTAACATACAATTGACAAAGGCATATATTGGGCCACAGATTAAGAAAATATGTGTTTAGAACTGTGCCTTTCAATAACCAGTTTTCAGAGTATGGATCTTAAATTATTGCACAATAATATTATAACTTTATACAAAAGGAGTGAACACGAATCCTTTGTCGCGAATGCTAGGTCAGGATCTCATGACATGTAACCACAGCTGCAATATGACATAACACATAGTTTTTATTACGAAAACACTGGGCACATATCGAGAGTACTTTTTAAATGTAGAGATAGTCTCTTCAAATTGAACGCCAGAGAATTTATTATATCTGAACGTGATTGTTCTTTGTGTAATCGTCATAAAATAGAAAATATATGTCATATTATTGGTGTATGTCCAATTTTCAGAGAACATAGTCCTATTTTTTTGTTTTAAAAGCACTTCTGTCCGAAGAAGAAATTAAAGTCTTGTTAAACGGTAGCAATATTTATAACCTGTACAAATTTATGAAAAGTGTTTTAAGTTACAGAAGATTAAATATTGATGTATTTATATAAAACACTTTTGTCAACTGTTGAAGAAGTTATTTGCCAATGTACACCTATATTCCGAAAGAGACACAAGTCGCATCAAATCCTCATGTTCGACACTTGTCTTCTGTAACTGCACTAAATCGCCTAGCACTAAAATCCTAGTTAATATCAAAATCAATATCTATATCTAAGTTAATATTAAAAGTTGTGTTTTACTTCACTCGTTAATCATCTCTATAAGTTCATTAGAACTTCAATGTGGCAATAATTTTGCCCTGCAAAATTAAATATTTTTTTGGTTTTTTTTTTTTTAATGAAATAAAAGAAAGTTAATAAATAATTGTGCCTTAAAGCAAGTGTCACGATGAGATGCAATGCAAGAGGTACTTAAGTAATTAATTGATACTATGTAGCGATTTTAGAGAAAATGCATCTATACCTCGGTTTACGGTGGTCTTGTTTAACGGCCCAACCATATTTGTGATCATGTTTCGTTTAACAACCAAAAAAATACCTCGTTTAACGGGGAAGAAAAATTATACAATTTATTTATTTTATTCTGCTTATGTATAGTATATATGACTTGATTTTGACTTGAAAGTTGCTTATACCCTATTGACTCAGTACTAAATTGAAAATGGGAAAAACTTGTTTAAAGAATGGTTTCATACATATTTCTATACAGAACATAAAACATATTTAGAGTAGAACAATTTATCTTACAAAGCTATGCTCCTTTTAGACAACGCGCCATGACACCCAATATGCCGTTCATAAGTTCGCTAAAAAATCAATGGCAGTTTTTGCCGAAAGACACCACGGCTTTACTTTAGCCAATGGATCAAGGTGCTATATACACTTTTATAACGCATTATTTACAAAATCTTTTCGAATGCTCATAAAACTAACAGATAATTGAAGGTGCCAAAAAAAGTTTCTGGAAAAGACATAACGTTAAAGATGCCGTAGTAAACATAAATCAATCGTGGAAGGAAATACAAATATTATCTCTTAAAAAAATGTAAAAGATGATGTTGGTAAAACGGCGACAGAGGTTGGTTTTGCTGATTACATTATAGATGATATCAGCCATCAGTTTTAAGAAATGACAGATAACAGCTTACACATCGGAAATTGCTAAAACTAGATAATTCAGAAGACTTCGATCAGGAAAAGGCAAACATATTAGATAATAGTGTTAAATAAACGATAGATCCCAAATTCTGAAGAAGTGTTTTGATAAAAGTGATTAAGTACTCAGTGATTTAAAAATTGTAAATTCACTTCTCCTTGCAAAGTACGAACGTTTCCAAAAAAGTTGATGAAGCTATGTTACCATATCACAATAGATCTTTTAGATCACAGTGCACTATCCCTTTTTTTCACTACACAACAATAGTCGACGCTTTAATTTGTGGAAAAAACTCGAGGGTAAAATAAATAAATATAAATTTAGATATATTAAATTTATTATAATAATTTTATTAAAATATATTCGAAAAACTGATAAATCCGTGTGAATAAAATTAAAATTTAAAAATATTAAATTTATTATTATAATTTTATTATAATAATAATTTTAATAAAATATGTTCAAAAATCTGATCATTATCTGATCATTACTTACATATTAAATTAAACTTTTTTTAACTTATCTTTCACACAATTTGCTTACGAAAAATTTGGTGCAAAATTGGAGAAAAAAAACTCACATTCCCATGTGATTCAGAATAGGGGTGAATATATTAGTTAACAAATGCAAATAAATTGGAAATATTATTTTTCTCATTTTGTTGGTCTGGTAGAACCCGGCTTGGGTTCAATTCCGGCCATTAGAAGCAACCTAAGGGGCAACATGACTAGAACTTGCTTCGTCCCAGTAAATCGGCAAGAATTACAATATGGGCTAATATATGCCAAGGTTCTAAAGAAATTCATAATGATTATTAGTCACTTTTTTTATAAGCACATAGGAGAACAAGGTTGTATATTTAGAAAAAATCCTTTTTGTTTATTTTAAACAATATTCATTTATTTGAATTTAAATAAATCACTACACACTATAAACTTAATGCAAAATCTTGTTCAATATACTATGTTTTATATGAATAAAAAAATATATTTGGTGTAAAAATTATTAGCACATAAAACGTATTCGCACTGTTGTTAAGATATATAAAATGCTTTAATTCTTGTAGTTTTAATATTAATTAAATTAAATACTTCTTGTTCAAATAGGATATTTTGCAAATAAAATAAAAATATTTACAATATCTTATATTGTTTAATTCTTCTTGGCGTTTTGAATTTCACTTGGTGTAACTCGTATTCTATGCAAAGATTTTATTTGAGATTTTTAAAAGTGGTATCTTTTGAGATTTAATATCATAGTTTCCTTCAGTTATTCTATCGTTTTTAATTATACATCGTGATACGTGTACTATATAAGCAAAATTACTTATACAAAATATTTACTTATGTGAAAAAAGTTTATATCTATAATCATTATTGAGTTCCTGAGTGCAATTTGATGCAACAGTTTGAAGTGCAATGAATTGCTTAAGCTCGTAATATATTATATGTAATATTAATAACAATATATTGATAACCAATTAATAATTAAAGAGCTATTAAAATTTTTTACTTAAAATAATTATTATATTGAGTGCCAATTTAGTTCAAAAGTCTCGTAAATGCTTAATTATCTAATTTTGTGTTTGGTGTTCGAAAATAAACTTTGCTTTTAGATATTTTTCAACAAATCATATGCCAGATTAATGCGTTTTATAAACATTTTAATTATTAATAATATTTTAATACATAAATCAACATTTCTTAAAAGATTTAAAGATTTAATTCGGTGTTAGCTTTAACTTTTTAACCAATCAATTTAAACAATTTAATTGACAAAGAAAGGCACAGTATTATTTTTTTTAATCAAATAATATAAATTTTCTTAAATCAATATAAAAATACGACTAATAGATTCTTGTTAGAAGGATCTAATAGAATAATATAAAATCTGTTAGTATATCTTAAGGTGTGTGCTTGAGTTAATTGTGTAAAAATAAAATTAAATTTTATGATATCATTCAATTCTTGGAATGTGTATAAGTTGAGAGTACAATACAAATAATACATTTTTTATAAAAAATTATTGTTTCATTTTTGATACTATCATAAAATATATAATACAAATATTTTTATGTTTCTGAAATATTTTTTTCATGTAGGTATTAATTTACAAAATTAATATTACGTTGCAATGTAGTTTTTAATAATAAAAATATAACGTTGAATTATAAAAATGCCTTTAAATTTAAATGCTAGTTTATAAAATTGGTTTATTTGTTTTTAAATTTTTTAATAATAACAATAAATGTTAATTTTGAAACAATAAACGCTTATTAAACACTTTAAATAAAAATGAAATTTTTTAAAATTTAATTCTCGTTTAAACAATGTCCGATTTATGAATTATTTATTGAAAATAATACAAATTATTTTATAATTTTATATACGAATTTATAAAATATTTTGAAATCACTGGAAGGGGTACACATTTAGCTAAATATGTGCTTTGGTTTTAACGTCTTCTTTGGTTTTTGCGTTTATATATAAATACGAAAAAAAAAATATTAATATTTTGCTATACAAACTTAAATGTCGACTATAATTTTAAATTGAAAATATAAAAAAAATAAATTAATTTTAAAAAGTTTGTATATAAAATACTAAGCCAAATGAATATAAATAAAATATATCAAAACGTTTCTTAAAAATTTGAAAAATAAGTTCAATTAATGCAGTTACTTCTCACTTAACTTAAACTTATTTTTAAAATTAGAGATTATAATCATGGTTTTAACTAAATTGCAACAGTTTAAGTTTATCATAATTTTAAGAAATTATTTATATTCACTATTCCATAACACATAAAGATAAAGATTGCTTCATGCTTAAACAAATAAATTTCATTCAAATTTGTGTACAAAGAAGTTAAACTTTACATTGAAAATATCCTTGTAAGAAAATGGGTTTACTTGGGAATATTTTGTTTTAACTATAAACTATAATTTGAAAAAAAACTACTCCTAATATTACAGTAGTTTTATTTCAACACAGATTAATTAAGAAGTCACTTTCGCTTGTAAAGTTTCTCAATTTAGATTAACATATACATTAAAATTAAATACAACCAAAATGCCAAATAAGAGGGCTGAAGAAAATGTAGAAAACAGGGCTTCGAAAAGTCTACCAATGCAAGTGTTTAATTAATTGAATAATTTTTAAAAAAACATAACATATATTTTTTCTTACAATTTCTTAAATAAAATATTTTAAACTTATAAATTGTTTAAGCAAGAAGTCTAACAAATAATAAAAAATGGAATGTTTAAAGTTGTCACTTATCATCATTATATGTATAAAGTTTCACACAAAAAATATATTATTACTTTTTATAAATAATCATTTTTTTCTGTTTTACATCATAATATCGTTTGTATGCACTATATTTTTATGTATTTAGTTATATATAATGTTGTACATATTCCCAACAACAACAATAAGTAGCATTAAAAAAAGCATTTTTACGTCATCATTCACATAAAATTTTTTATACATTGCTTAATTAATTACTTTTATGTATAAACTTATGCTTAACTTATTAACTAAAATCAAAGCTGCCAACTGAGTGGTTAGAAATAGTTAAAAATCGACAGCTGGTATTTTTATATACTCGTATATAGAAAATATATATACGTAGTACTAGAAATTTCTTTAGTGCTTCTTGACAGCATATTTGAAAAGCAAATAAGATGTTTTATTTTCAAACTAACAATGTGATCTTTGAAACTAATAAGGCTTTTTAGATAAATCGATTTTTTAGAGTTGAAAATTTGTTTGTTGTGATGTTTGTTGACGTCGTCCAAAACGTCTAGGCGATGAGGAACTCATTGATTCATCTTCCAATTCTCCGCTACCAACTGCATTACCCGTACAGCACAGTCGATTATGTGCTAAACGTATTGTTTTCGTTAAGTCAATTGTGTCGTTTTGTTGCTTTAACTCAATCTCAGCTACTCGCTCCATATGTTTCCATTGCCGCACAGCCAGGGTAAAAGCGTCAGTTACGTTACTAGCCGCTTTTGATGATGTTTCGATAACACTGGAAATTGAGTTATTGTCGCACCATTCTTGTACTTCCTCAAAACTAACCTGACGGTCGTGTAATGCCAAATCGACCTTTCAAAACAAACTTATACATTTATTTAAAAAGAATATATATATTGTTTATACGTACTTTATTTCCAACTACAATGAAGGGGAACTTGTCTGCTTTAATATTAGCATAAGCAAGAAATTCATCACGCCAAAGTTTTAGACCACGGAAGCTATCGCGATCGTTTACAGCATAGCATAATATACATACATCAGAGCCGCGATAAAAAGGTGTACGCAAAGCTCGAAATCGTTCTTGTCCCGCTGTATCCCAAATCTGCAATGACAAATAAGTTGAAATTAATACTAAATATTCAAAATTCATAAGAAAAATAAGACAAGATGCACTTAAACAAACATCTTTAATGATCTATGAAACTATACAATTGACTAACTCGTCTAACGTCAGTTAATTTTTAATTTTAATTGGATTAGTCTTAAATCTGTTCCAAAATCTTTTTATAAATATAATGATAGAAGCTTTAGTGAATAAGAGATTTAAAGCAACAGTTCAAGGATAATGACGTAGGATTGAATAAGGAAACTCCACGCATTTATTCTGATGCTCAACTTTATTTATTGGTTGAAAATGGAAAGGGGTCTGAGAGTGATATATGCTGACATAATCTGTCGTTGTATATTCCTTCTTTAATCTATTATATACATATTATTTAAAATATGTAGGTTGTACAAAGGTAACATTACTGATAAAAACCATATTTATGTACGCTTAACTTTATCATATTCTATGAGAATATGATAAAGACTAAACACAGTAAGACACAGAAATAACATTTTTAATGGTAAAATGTTATATGACACTGGTCATTAATATTAATATTTAAGTATTTAAAATCATTCTAAGCAACCTCATGTCAATTGCTGTCTAATCGTAACAAACAAAATCAATCCTTTAAAACATATTGACTGACAACTCTCATGCAAAAAACAACGTTTTGGCAATATTAAATTCATTCGTCACGTAGTCTTCTTTAAGACTAATATAGTCATTCCAGTGCTTCTTTCACATTGCGATACTTCTTTCGTGATCTTGAAATATGTCTCGTCTGCGGCAGACGTTTTCATAGCAGCTAAATGTCTTTCTCTGGAATATTTTTTTGAAACCAGCTAACAAGTATTCACCGTTAGGGGCCAAATCTGGCGATTATGGCAGGTGTAAATGCAATTGTAGGTTTGGCCAGGTGAAAATAGTCGATAATCAAAATTTCATGCAGATCCCAAAATATAGATGCCAGCTGTCTGTTGGCTTCTAGTTTGTATCCACTCCGCTGGAAGTTGAATCGATTCGACTGCTGTCAATTCAGCTAGAATGAAGTGGTGGATTTAAGTTTCGTTTATTATTACACTGATGCCAATAATGATTTTTATCTCGCTTCAACTGCTTCAAAAAGCTCTCAGAAATATAGACACGTTGTTGTTTTTGGACACTGTATGCTAATGGGGCTTTCACTTCATGGACAAATGTTCATTCGAAAAGAAGCCAACACCGACGGTTTTGCGGACTTTTATGATGTTTCATATTTTTCATGTCATCATATCTTTGTGGCGTTAGGCATCATCGGTGTTTTTGCGGTCGCGTTAAAAATCAACAAACTACTTTTCTACCATTTGTCTCGATGAAGCAGAGTCTGGGTAGAACTTACCAAGCCAAGATTTAGTTAACGTAATATTCTTTTCAATCAAAAAGTAATGATAAATTAAGACACGAAACTGCTTTGAATGCATTGCTCTGGAAATATAAAAAATAGCGTCACTAAAATTGTTCAAATGCTATGAAATCATTACCAGATGGTATCACTTGAAATCTGCCAACTTTATATAAACTTTTAAAATTTATATGGATTTTTAATTGGTGACGTTGCCAGTGTAATGTTACGGATTCATCAAGCCATATGTTGTATTATAAATTTTGTTTGTCATATTGTATTGTACGGAATCGTTGGCGAAATAAACCAACAATGAAAGACCATTCTTTCTACTTAATATCTACAGCTGTACCATGCAAGTACCGAAATTTGTACTCATTTCCGTCCTACATATGAATTTAATAACAACAACAGCACAACAATAATAGTTATAGATATATATATATTATTTTGATTATTTATCCTGAGATAAATGATATAAGCATCATTCTAAACAACGTAAATTCTATCCATGGCATTCATAGGCGTCTCTACCCCCGTTCCCAATCTTGGTCTCGGAGTCTAATGCTAACCCAATCTGCACGCTATCTCTAAGTCTCTATGGAAATTTTTACGCCAATGATATTTTGATACCACAGCCTAGATCAATTGTAGACCAGTAGTTTATAAATGCCACCGGTATATTGATACTTCAGACTGAAACCTTATAACGCCAACAGTATTTTGATACTGATACAGGCTGAAGATATTGTATATCATTGATTCATAGTGCCGGTATATTAATACCAAAGGCTGAATTTATTGTATAGCAATTAACTTATAACACCAACAGCTTCTAACATTACATATATTTCTCTTCCTCATAACGCCCAAGGGTTTATCTTATGAAAGAAATTCTGTAAATATTGATAATAATAATAATAAACATATTCTATTAAAAATAAACCTTTCTCTATTCTTTCTCTTTCTCTACACTTTTCTCTATTCATTGATTTTGTACTTAACTTTCGAACTAATCAATAAACAAATTTATTAGAAGGACCCGTACGACGGCTGTGTGTTACCTCAGCAAACCAAACGACGAGCCCGTGTCGTTACAACCAGACTTAGCAGTGGTCTTGTCCTGATGGAACATAATGAATGTTATGTATATACATATAAATGATAGTGTAACAATGAATTTAGTTAAACAGCAAAAAATCATGTTGTCTGAATGGGAGACAAAAAAAATTTGGGAGAATGGGCGAATTTTGCGGTACATAATAAGATAATATTCTTTAAGAATGAAAGAGAAAGAACCAACTTGACACTACTGACTGTTGTCATCGCGTTTCTATAGCTGTAATGATGTACTTGTATGGTAAGAAAATAAATGATATATGCTTTTTGGGAAATTTTTTTTTTGTGTTGTGCAAAATATTTTTATTGTGAGAAATTTTGCATTGTAAAACTTATATAAGATACTCGTATATAAATAAAAATAATTACTAGAAAAAAATTCTAGAAAAAACAGACAACACAATAATCTCATTAAAAAACATTTGTGGCATTAATTACTGCTGACAATAAAATCATTAAGTTTGGGTTAATTAGAATTTATCGTGATTCACTTAATAAATTAATTTTTTTTAAAAATTAACAACTTCAAGTGCTCAAACTATCTATTGGTTAAAACATTAATTAATTAATTAAATGCAATGCTTCAAACTAATTCAAATAGTCCTCTTTTATATTTATATATCGATGATGATGATCTTTTAACTTCCGTTTGAATGTCATCCAACAATTTCTCACACTCAGCAAACTCTTATTTTAAGCATCGGTTCCATGTTGTTCTGGATAGTTTCATCTGTCTGCTCCCTTAGAGATTTTCGTTTAATGCTTGATATCATACATTGTGACCGAAAGGTTTTCGGAAGTTCTCATTTAAAATTCGCGCGCTGTATATTTTTCGATATTTTAAGTTTATGTAGTTTGGCAGCACTGTCCTTAATTACTATGCCAAAAATGAGCGCGATCTGTCAGACAGTTCGTTTACGGCAGCTGTTGAAACCAGTTCACCTCAGTAGTGCGTTGCGAAAAAAACAATGGAAAAAAATATTGAACAAAGAGTTTGCATCCAATTTTGTGTTTCGAACGAAATTTCGTGTGCAGAATCGTTGCGAATGCTACAAAAGGCTTATGGGGAATCAGTTTTATCGAAAACTCAAGTTTATGAGTTGTACAAAGCCTTTCAGGACGGTCGTACGACCGTCGAAGACATGCCGCGTTCTGGACGACCTTCGACCTCTACCACCGACGAAAACATTGAAAAGGCAAAGGAAATCGTGTTCCAAAATCCTCATGTGAGTGTTAGAGAGATAGCACGAGAGCTAGGCATCGGTCGTGAGACCACGGCCTCAATTGTGGAAGGATAATTCATGGATTTTTCATGACGATAATGCTCCCTCGCACCGAGCCAACATTATCAACGATTTTAAGGCCCAACATTCAATAAATACCATCGAACAGCCACCGTATTCACTGATCTTGCACCTTGTGACTTTTTCCTTTTTCCCAAACTCAAATTACCACTCAGAGGAACGCGTTTTGAATCCATAGAAGACGTAAAACAGAATTCGCAGAGGGAACTCAAAGCCATACTGGAAAGCGCCTATAAAAAATGTTTTGATGATTGGAAGAAACGTTGGCATTTGTGTATCGCTTCTAATGGAGCATATTTTGAAGGAGATAAAATAAATATTGATGAAGATTAAGAATTTTGCGTTTGTACATTGTGACCGGAAACTTTTCGGTCACAATGTATTTAGCAAAGACTGTTCGTTTTAGAACTATAGACGGTATTTTTAATTATTAAGAAGTTCATCAACTTGAACTTGGATTTGAAAATCACAGAAACACATCAGTATTATAACACAATATATATGCATGAGTCAACATGTGAAGTTCGCAAAGTTGCAACGCTTGAGATGGTTAGGACACGTCATGAGAATGCCGGACGATAGACCACAAAAGCGAATACTCCATTTCACGCCGTATACTGACCGCAGCAGAGGTAGGCCACGTATAAGATGGCTCGACAACGTGACTGAAGACATCAGGAAAATGGGTGGAGATCTAAAACATCATGCAAAGCAGAATGAAGAAGGCTGGTTGATGCAGCTAAAGCTCACCCCGAGCTGTAACGCTGATGATGATGATGATATATGCATGAAATTATAGTGGATATTGTGCGAAAAAAAAAGTTCTTAAAAACAGTTTTAAAACTATTTTCTAGTTATACCAAACACTTTCAAGAAAATCCAAAATTAATATCACAGTGGCAAGATTTTTGCCTGTTTTACACATAACTGACAGATTGATTTTTTATTGAAAAATTGAACATTCCCTTCGATCAGAACTGTGAAGATTCAGAGAGGAAAACTAAAAAAAAAATGACTACTGAGCACTTATGCTGCACATACTCTGGTTTCAAATTATGGTATGTCAATATTGAATCGTTCATGATCTTGAAGGACATCCCAAATATCTATCTAAGGAGTCGTTAATCAACTTTTTAAGTTAGTTCTAGAAAATATCCTTTAATCTTATTTTTAGATGTTTGGTAACA